CAGTTTCAAAGACTACAGACAAAGGGAAGGGCATTCAAGCCTCACCCTCAGACAAATATTTACAGACAGTTTTAGGTAATCTCCATTTTAAGCCACAGTCTTTCTTAGAACAGACTAATTTAGAAAGAATAAATTTTGGGAAACATAGTCTTATATTTTTTCCACCATCTAATATGTCTTTTAGAATTTTACCAGAATGTGTCATAGACAGACCCCAAAGGTGCTTAATTGGTAACTTATGGATATCATATAATAAGAAAGACACTAAATATTTTATAGTAACACTTAACGCTTTGGGTCAATATTTTACAGACAAAAATCAAGACAAAAAGTTTAAGTATTATGTAGTTATACATGGAAAAACAAAAGGTATTTTTCAGACATGGTTAGAAGTATTAGATTCCATTAAAGACATAGAAAACCCTCTTTTTAAGGGATTTAATGATTTTACTGAAGCATTAGATTATGCAAGAGGAGTATTAGGACCAAATTACTATATTACCCCAGCTCTAAGACAAAATCCAGAAAAAACCCCTCAATACAACATCCGAAAAGACGATGGTAAAATAATATTTTGCGATCACTGCTCGTCAATGACAGAAGCCTTCAAACGGTTAAACCAAAAGAATGACATCTTGACACAAGAAAATACGAAGCTCATCGAGCAAGTAAAGGTATTAGAACACAGGATACAAGCATTGAGGTTCGAGTTAACACAATCACAGACAAACTCGCAGACTCAGATTATACCACAACCAGATTAAGAAATAAACAGTCTAAAGAGTTCTCCATCTCAAATAAAAATGGATGATACGGGTGTGCATTCCCCAAAGAATGCAGTAAGATCCACTGTATCGGATAGTGATACAGCTAGTCCGGTTCAAACGGTAACCGGTAAAGACAAATCAAATCCGTTGATGGCTGTCACTTTGCCAAAAAGTGAAGATGAAGGATCATCAAGAAGAAGATTACCAAAGACCTTAACGCAAGGAGAAATGCTAAAGAAAAAGGGAGTGATATCAAAAAAGAAAAAAAATGAGAAAATAGAAAAAATAATTAAACAGACATTAGAGAATTTTTTCCAAGAAAAAGAAGAACAAGACAAGCATATAGTTAAAAATCCAAGTCTCAGTCCAAGAAGTCCAAGTCCAAGTCCGAGATTAAATTCAAGAAGGGAGCAAAGTTCTGAAGAAACTAATGACTATCTAAATTATCAAGATGCCCAAGACCCGAATGATTATGATTTCGGTATGAGTTTCGACTCAGAAGCCATCCATAATCTAGATACATAAAACCATCAGAACAGGGCAAAGAACAAGACCAACAATACAAAAAGAAGACCAGACCAATAATGAAAATGTGGAAAGAAAGACAAGACGAAGAAAAGACTGGTACCAGAAAAGAAGACAGCCGTGCTAAAAGACAGAGATAAAAAGATGACACAAGATGTGACAAGACAATGACACTAAAAGACAAGCCAAAAAAGTTGAGTGGACTAAAAGGGCGCATAAAAAAAGAATCTTCGACAAAGCAACGTGCTGATGGGGCCCAAAGTTGTACCCTGCGAAGCTTGATAGACGGATTCCTAACACATTTTGAAATTCAGTTTTCAAGTCCGACTCAAACTCTCTATCTATAAAAGGAGAAGAAAGAAGAGAAAGGGATTCATTCGAAAAATAAGAACCATTCGAAAAAACCCATCCTCTCAAACTATCCAAAAACTCTCAACCATCTTTGTAAAATACCTCTATGTATATAATATAGTAATTTTCCCTCCTCCTCTAAGTTTGTAAGAAAAATAAGTTCATCAGCTTGTACGAAGTAATTTTCAAAGTTTTTCAGTAAGGTTTTCGGGTTTCCCGAAAGGGAAATCTCTCTCCTATAAGCATGTAAGTTATTCATCTTTATCTAAATTATGTTTCTGATAAACATTACCCCAGTTTGTATTTTACTAAATTTATGATTGTTAATTAGTTTGTATTTTACTGTTCTTATGATTATTAGTTAGTTAACACTATGTCTGTACATTAAATTATCATATAACACTCTTAGTATATGGTTAGCTTCCCAATTTCTTAACAAATATGATGGATTAACCTGTAAGTTCCTAGGAAAAACTGGTTTAAAAACCCAATTGATAAAGAAGGGTATAAGTGTTTAACCATGGCCGGGAGAGGTTAAAGAAATAGAAGTTAAGAAAAAAGTAAAATCTTTAAAAGATTGGGAAGAAGAGATGAACAGAGTAAAAAAAAAGAAAGTTACGGGGTAATATCAGTTCATAATTTAGCTAACATGTTAACTTTACAAGTCTATAGAATAAAAGAGAGAGAGTACCGAGTAGGATTTTCACAAATATAAGATTTAACTGCAAAGATTTTTTTACTATTAATGTCCAATAACCGCAACAACTACACCCATCCAGAAAGTTTTACTAGAAGTCTTACTCAAAATTTAGAAGAATTTATAATAGACATAGATAATGGATTCTATTCTATAATAGATCTAGCAGTACATTTTATCTACCTAGAACAAAATAACAGAATCTATTTAGATAAATATAGAAAACAACTATACTTAATATCGGAAATATTCAGATATCACCAGTCAATCTACTCTTACTATCAGAGAAGAAGATTTCAAAGAAAGAGAAGAATATACTACTAGACAATATTTATTTTACCTACTCCAGAAACTCCCCCTTTATAGTTTATTGTTTTTTAATCCCCGAAACTCCCCCTTTATAGTTTATTGTTTTTTAATCCCCTTTACTATTAGAAACCCCCTTTATAGTTTATTGTTTTTTAATCCCCTTTATATATATATGACTACTGGTTGAGCTTAGAGAAGAGTGGTGGAACCCCATTGCATATCCCGAGACAGAGATATCATATATGAGTGGATATCATAAGGTAATGCCAGTGGCAGTTTTTACGATAAACAACAGAAAGTGGTCTACCTAAGAGAGAGAGAGACGGAAAGAGTGCGTATGGTGGGGTAAGAGGAGGAAACTAATAAAGTCAGGGGTCGGCTGTAGCCTAACAGCATTTGGCTTTAGAGAAATCAATGGAACGATTGAAATATCGAAATGAAAGGAAATGATTGGTTCCCTAATTCTCTGCGGTAAAAAGAGAAGAGTCTGACTTTTGTATGTAATGAGGATATTGATTTGTCCTTATGGGTGTCAAAGTTATCAAACAAATAATTTTTAAGCCATTTTTTGTAGTGTTTGATAGAGTTAGAAAGTGCTTTTAAGCACTTGTTTCAAGTTTATGACAAAAATAAGCCAAAAACTAAAATTCCTAATTTATGGCTTAAAAGTTATTTTAGCTTAAACGTCACTTAAAATAAATTCATCCAAACGACCTCTAAAACATTAAAAAATAACACTTTTTTTAAAAATTTAGTTGGTTAAACAGTCATGATAAATAAAGAAAAAACTTTTGTTAGTCTTATTCGGTAATTGAAGGGGAGCCTTGGCGTAACTGATAAAGTTACTGCCATGTGACCAGGAAGTCTCGGGTTCAAACCGTAGAAATAGCCTCTTGTAGAAATGCAGGGTAAGACTGAGTACAATAGACCCTTGTGGTCCGGCTCTTCCCCGGACCCTACGCATAGCGGAAGCTTAGTGCACCAGGCTGCCCCGTTAATCTGATTTGGTAATTACACAAATTATACAGAATGAACAATCAATTAAAGGATAATTTTGAATTGGACGGGTTAAATTATGACTTATTGTTTAGTTCAGATTGACCAATTTTAAACCAAAAAATTCTTTTTATGACCAAACCAATTTATCACTTCAACCTGATGTTCAACCCGTTAATTCGAGCCCGTTTGAATGAGCTTGTTTTAAGTTACTTTTAAGCCAAATAGTTTTTAAGCCATAAGTTAGGAATTCTAATTTTTTGGTTTTGGCTTGTTTTTGTGATTTTAGCTTAAAAATAAGTGCTTAAAAGCACTTTTTTACTTTATTCAAACATTACAAAATGACTTAAAAGCTATTTTGGCTTAAAAACACTTACAACAAGCCAATCCAAACGGGCTCTTAACCTAAATAGTAATTGCTTAAATTATGCCGCTCACATCGCCTATAATATATATATAATTATATATAATTAATACATATTTTATGTATACTAACTAAAAATGTAAACTATCAATTTGATCTACTACTTGTATAATGATTCCGGATTTCATTTGTCATTGTCATTATATGGTGACTTTAAGAATCCAGCGCATCAATAAAGATTGTGGTGGAATGATAATCCTTGCTAAAAATTTTGAATTTAAGCCCCGAGTAGAAAATCACATTTGTCAAGAGGACTGCTTTCCTTCCCCCGTTATGAAACTTCCCGATGCATATTCAAATTTAATCAGGCGTTATTGCGAATATCAAATACCTGACCAAAAACAAAAAAAATGAACCTGGCCGCAGAAGGACTGATTATTGGGATGAGGGGCGGACAAGAGGGGTGCATATCTTATCTCTGTACCCCTTTAAGCCCTCTTTTTTATGCACCAACTTGATCCATTTTTCATTTACCCACTAGTCCCACTACTCTTGTCACCCTCACGTGAACCCATCCTCTTCCTTTTACTTTTTGCAACTTCAACCAACTTTCTTCTTCTCTCTTATATAATTAGCTGTCTACTCTATGTATATATAAATGAAAAACTGAGACATTTCTAGCCATAACAAAAGAGCACCATTAGCCACCCACCACTCTTACATAAGAATCATCAGCTCTTCTTTCATTTCAGATCAAAATCTAACAACGCTTAGCAAAAAAAAATGCCTCCTAGTTCTCCAGATTCATCTGTTTTACTCCAAAGAATAAGCTCCAACACTACTCCTGATTTTGCCTGTAAACAATCTCAGCAATTACAAAGGCGTACTATGCCGATACCTTGTACGACACAAGTCCCAGATTCCGTTGTCCGATTCCATACTCACCCAGTGGGTCCCAACCAGTGCTGCTCCGCCGTGATCCAGCGGATTTCCGCCCCCGTCTCCACCGTATGGTCAGTTGTCCGCCGCTTCGACAACCCGCAAGCATACAAGCATTTCGTCAAGAGCTGCCACGTCATCGTAGGGGATGGTGACGTCGGCACTCTCCGCGAGGTTCGCGTGATCTCAGGCCTTCCAGCTGCGTCCAGCACGGAAAGACTCGAGATCCTCGACGACGAGCGCCATGTCATCAGCTTCAGCGTAGTCGGCGGGGACCACCGACTCGCGAATTACCGTTCCGTCACCACCCTCCACCCGGAACCGTCTGGTGACGGGACGACCATCGTCGTTGAATCCTACGTTGTTGATGTACCACCTGGTAATACTAGAGATGAAACGTGTGTTTTCGTCGATACCATCGTCAAATGCAACCTCACATCGTTATCGCAGATCGCAGTAAACGTGAACAGAAGAAAAGATTCTTGAAATATAGAATATATTTACAAAGCTGATCGATGATGCTTTTGATGATGATCTTATAAGCGATGATATTTTTGGGGTTGCAATGGTCTGAAAATCGTTGCACCTTTTCAGATCATGTGCTTATTATAATCTCCTGGTTGTCATCACTTGTTGAAGATAAGTTCTTGGTTAAATCTTGTGTTACCGAATTAATTTCATTCTCTTTATATTAAGTACTTGGTTCTTTTTTTGCCTCATTGCTCTATGTTTAACTTTGTCAGTGTATTTGTGAAAATAAAAAGGATTCAGAGGGCAAATTTTTTTCAAATACTGGTGTTCATTACTTTATCTTCATGTAGTTACATAGGGATCTTCTTTCGAGTGTTTATTTGCTGAATTACAATTTCGAGTCATATATTGGATGTTATTAGTACAACTAAAACGTTATAGGGACAGTCGGGTGGACGAACTATCTCTTCGAGGGAGTGGCGCATCTAAGAGGGTGTGATGTATGCGATCTTCGAAGAATCTTGGTTCGAACTCGTTACCTACAACTTCATCGCTGATCTAAGACTACTTCACAGCTAAAAGGTTACACTATTCAATATAAAGCCGCCCTTACAGTTATCTAAATTTTACCTAGAAATAGAGCACGGTATTACCGAGTTTACGGCAGGAAGATAACTTTTTTTTTTTTGGTAATACATAATGTAAATATGTATCTATACAGCATACTGAAAGTACCATTACTGTCTTTTGATTTCAACATGTCATTTCCTCTGAAAATTGCAAATTGCACCGGATATTCTATTTGGTTGCCCCCATTTAATATATACTCATTTTTTTAAAATTTAACTTACCCACTTTTTTAAAAACTTCAGTCCCCTTTCTCCTCGTCCTTCTCCCAGTAATCTCCATATCTCTTCGGAACTTAACATTGATGTAACAATATCTTTCCTTCGGTGGCTTCACTCAATTCCGCAGAAGTCATCCTACTATACATAATTAAAATAATTGAAATCTTTATTTTCAATTTTTTCTTCAATGTTTGTCAAAAGAAAAGTCAATTGTGTTACCGGAATTCCAATTTAAAGTGTTTAGCTCAGAAGAATCTAGTCTTCTTAACATTTATGGAGCTATAATATCCCAACAGCTAAAATAGTACTACTTAATGCTATTTAAAGTCATCAGATCTCAAACTCTCGCATGTCGAAAGATCATGTGGATGAAGGGTAGTTAATCAATGATTTTTCTGCAGTACTGGTCATGTATATATCCCTGCATAAGGTAGGGGTTCCTCCCCAAAAATAGAAACTTCAGCAGTACATACTCGAGGGTTTTAAAAACTTCAGCTCTAGAGCTGAAGTTCGACAGTTACAAAACAAAAACTTTAGCTCTAGAGCTGAAGTTCGACAGTTACAAAACAAAATCTTTAGCTCTAGAGCTGAAGCTTACAAACAAAAACTAAAGCTCTAGAGCTGAAGCTCGCCAGTTACAAATAAAAACTTCAGCTTTAGAGCTGAAGTTGGACACTTACAAAAAAAAAAAACTTCAGCTCTAGAGCTGAAGTTTGCTAGTTACAAAACAAAAACTTCAGTTCTAGAGCTGAATTTCAAGCCCGACTACTAGAATGCTGAAATTTTGCGTGATTGCCTTTGCTACTTCAGCCCCGTATGCTGAAATTATGCGAAAAAACGGGCATGCTAGCAAATTTTTTTGCATAGCGGGCATAAGTTAAAACGTGACACAAAAGCGGGTATAAATGCAAATGCCCCTCATATCATATAGGATCGGGTCATTAAGAACAAGAAATACAACAACCCAGTATAATCCCATTTAGTGGGGTCTGGGGAGAGTAGTGTGTACGCAGACATTACCCCTACCCTGGGGTAGAGAGGCTGTTTCCAAATTGACCTCCGACATCCTTCCCTCCAAGAACTTCCCACCTTGCTCTTGGGGAAACTCGAACTCATAACCTCTTGGTTGGAAGTGGAGGTTGCTTACCATCAGAGCAACCCCTCTTGTCTTAAGAACAAGAAATGAATATATATATTAAAAGTAATATTATTAACTCTTCAAATATTAATAATCCAAATATTATTAAGAGTACTAGTTATGAACTTGCGATTAGGGGAATGAGTTAAGACGAGGTTAATTAGGTCGTTTGATATTTGGATGATTTGTTTTTAGAATAAATGTATTAAATATATAGCTTGAACGCAGTAGGAAGGTGAGTTAATTCAGCCGACTCTTGAATACAGCCAATGGTCGATTCTATTGCTTGCTAAAAGCTGTAATTAAATTAAATAAATCACAGGTTCCCATACTAAGACGGCGAAATTAAGTACGATGCACGTACCCTTTTCATTAATTTTGATATAAATAAGTTTCTAGTAAATATAATTCATTAATTGAATGTCGATTAAGGATTCCAGCAAATAGAAGTACAGTACTTAATAAATGGCGAGCACGATAGCAGCAGTTTCTTCATATTTGTTGTTTGAAATTAATATACTTACCGTGGTAAAATCAGAATTTTCATTAATAAGGACCAAAATATGAAAGACAAAAAGACACGTAAAAGCCAAAAAATTCAACATATTTTCTCAAAATCATATATATATTCTCAAGAAGCATGTCCATATGGTACATTAAGTGATAATAACACAAGAAACTTAGTTTATAAATTTGACCCCAAAAAAATTAAAAATAAAAAGAAAAGTAAATGTGCAACCTAATTAAAAATAATTCTATTATTAGAGGCATAAGCGAGGATGCAAGTTGCCTAAGATTGTTGGAACATGTTCACATTATATAAACTAAAAAATAAAAGATAACATGACGAGAATCAAACAGATACTCTGCAAGTTGGAGAACGCGACTTTTTCTAAAAAAAAAAAAGAGACCAATTAGATGATATATATATATATATATATATTCAATAAAGAAACAACAAGTTGCATATTTTTAAATTTATCATATGGGAATTGTTTAGTCATTAAATTGAAAAAGTAAAGGGATAGTGATTGTGCAAGTTGCACCGGCTTTGCTGTTATCACCTCAACTCTTTTATTGTCTTTTTGCCTTTGAATAATATGTAAGTTGGAGAAAAATAAAGAGTCTAGAACGGTTTCAATATGCAAGTTGCAACTGCAACTTGCAATAGCGACTTTAATGATCCTCGTGCTTCTTGTCTACCTATTATTAGGCTTCTTTCAAGCTATTTCCAAAACAAAAAAAATAAATATTGCCCATTCCTTATAAGAAATATTTTTTTGTGATCATTTATAATTTGAATTATAAAAAAATAATTCAATAAAGATCTCATGTATTTTAGTTTTAAAAAAGGAAAAGGAAATCTTTTTTGATCAATCCCATATATAGACACGGACCTTCCTTGTTACCACATGACTGCCACCGCATACGGCTCGCACAAAGACTCTTTGACCATTGAATTGGAGTATTCTACTTTCACGCAATTTACAGATTCAACAAGCAATTTATATTTCACGATCTAGGGTATAATACTTCGCGTAGTAGTGATCCTTATATATCGTATTACCAATCAAAAAATCTCTATTTGATAGGCCTTTTTCCTATACCGATGAATTCTATTAGACCCATAAATGATATATTGGAAGAACCATTGGGTCTTCTAATATGATCAATGGGTTGATTGTTTTGTTCTTGTTATGCACGACTCCCATTACATACGGCTCGCACAAAGACTCTCGTAGATCATAGTTGCTCCTCTTCGTATTTTATTTCTAAGTTTCTTTTTATAAATTTGTTTAAAATTTATGTCATATGAATAAAGTGGGGAAAAGACCAAATGGATTACCTACAGAAGTTATTAGTCGAAGATCTCGGTGATCTTTCATCTTTTAGGAAAAGGATCATATACCTAAAAGAACATTTGTAGTGATCCCACATTGCCCACAAATTAAGCTCATAATACTTCCTTCATTTCCTTTTTGGTCAAACAACCAAGCACATGAAACACGTCAATAACATTGTTGCAATTGTACAAATTAAAACACTACTACTCCACTATTACACGAATTACTCGGAGAGTCGTCTTCAAATTTTGTGTTATCTGAGTGTTTTGGTTTTCTTAAACAAATATTGAAAAGTAAATAACTAGTTTGATGGGTTCCAAAATGAGCTATGAGAAACTATTTGTGGACATTCTTGAAAGAAAGCTTATGCATCGTTTACTTTTCTTTTAATTTTCCACCCGTAGTATCTGCATTGAGCTTCAAATTGTAAGGGAAGCGGTTCGTACCTGAATTTTTTCATGGCATAATACATAAACAGGTCCTAATTTGGCCTCAGCTGGCAAGTATGCCCTCCAACTTTGGGTGTGCACAAGTAGGCACCTTAAGTACTTGTATAAAGTTGAACACACAAACACAAATGATGACGTGACACTAATGCGACACATAAATTTTGGAGGTATCTAGATAATCATTTTGTAAGTTAGATTATTCAACTGACAAAATAAAGTCGAGTTGAGATGCCTACTTGTGCACGCCCAAAGTTGAATAGCATGCTTGTGAAGCCAAGTTTGAGGGCTTGTTTATGTATTGTGCCTTTTTTCATCTTTTACTTCCCCACCAATTTCCAAGAAAGGAAAGAGATAGATATTTTAGGTTGAGGATCATGCATAAAGATGAGAGCACTCTTTCTAGTTATGACAAGATTATGAAAATCCAATGCCCTTTCATCAGCAAATTTTTTCCTTGTTAATTTTTATATAAATTGTCATGTAATAAGTAGCAATAGGCTCTAGGCTAAGTGCAGCTGCATTAGTTTGTCGATTTCTACTTTCTGGTCTGGACCTGCAGACAACCAAGAAATGGACCACCTAATGTAAATGCATTTTCTTTTCCCTATTGCCTAATATATAATTTTGTGCTTTATCTGTTGAGCCAATCTTAATGAAGTAGACTTGCAAATATTTCCCCTCTAGCTACTAGCTTCATTTTAAATAGGAAAATAACTCTAGCTTAACATTCAGTATCGTAGCCACATAGAATGAAGGGCGTTTAGAACACCCTTTATCCGAAAATTATATTATGTATATAAAAAATTATACTATGTATATAGGTCAAAAATTAATTTTTATAAAATATTAAACGTTAAACACCCTTTGCAAAATTTTTGGTGCTGCTACTGTTCATAAGTAATATGCACTCAGCTATATTTTAGCAGGAGAAAATTTTCATTCACGGCTAAATTTAGTTAGGATTTTTTTGTGTATTTCTAGCAAATATGAGATATGACTATTCCTAACTAAATTAGGATGAGCAAGTTGATATCTATTCTCAAAGGACGTCATGCCAATTATACTTAGCAGAGTTGTCTGATTGCTTTCACTTATTGGATTTTAAAGATTTTTTAGCATAAAGTTTTCAGCTTCTTTTTCAAAATCAGACAACATTTCAAAATCACGAGGGATAATATTAGCCTTATGCAATAAAGCGAGCAAAGGATACAACCACGCATTCTCCATTTGCTTTTGTATCGTGTTACCTTTTTTTTGTATTAAGTGAGAATTGATTCCTATTCATATTGCTAAACAATTCATCATTTCATCCTTCAACCAAATGCACCATTCAACCTTCTTAGAGCACGGATGCCAACAGTTAATATTATATCAATTTTAGAAAACTAGTTTTAGTATACGTGCGTTACACGTGAATTTTGCGTCTATCAATAAAAGTGCATAGAATATTGGACAAAAAATAAATTTTAATATAGATT